TTAACATGCAATCAAGATGCACTGATAATTACTGGTGATTGGAATGTAAAGATGGAAACGAGGAAGGACCATAGTTGGTGAATATGGCCTTAGTGATAGAAATGACATTCTCTCAAAGCCCACTGCCATCAAATTGATTGCGACCTACCGCAACTCTCTAAGGGAAGAACTGTTCATTCTTTATGGAAATAGAAAGCCTTTGTCTTTCTCCCATGAAGCAGTTGGTTTTGAACTACTGACATTAGATATCCCATTAAAGGGCTTAACAGAAGATTTCAAAGGGTGACCCAGGAAGGCAAAGTAGTCTAATGAAATATGCTAAGACATGGAATTAAAAAATCAAAAAGAACACAGCATTCTTCAAGCTGAAAGAACTGAAGAAATAAAGGCAGGAACCACCCAAAAAGATTGGACACACAGTCACTCTACCAAATAAAGAATTTGTTGACCTTCATCCATTTCAATAGGTAGCATATGATCAAGAATCAATGATATTAAAGGAGGATGTCTGAGCTGCATTGAAGGCGCTAGCAAAAAAGGAAGCTTCAGGAATTGATGGAATACATTCTTGCAATTATGTTAAAGCCAAATAACTAGCTGTGGCTAAAGCCTGTTGAAGTTCTGTACATGAATACCAGCGTGAATGTGTTCTTCCTTATCACAGCAACTATGAAGGCCATGTTTTTGAGAAGGGACAGCTACAAGATGTTGGAGACTAACAGCCTGGGATCCTTAAGCTGTCTCTTACTTGCCTATTTAAATAAAGAATAAAGGTTATGAAAAAAAATTACATTTTACTGAACTGCATTGTCACTGTAATTTTAAGGGTTGGTCATTAGTGAAGCATAATTTTGTTTATCCTGATTAAAATTGTCATGAAGTAGTAGTTGATCAACAAACTCTCTTAAGGTGTATCCCCTATGTATAAGTGACATCTCTAGTACAAATAAACTTAAATTGAAGCAGACCGTGTTTTTATTTAATACACAAACAAATATATTACTCCAGCTTTTACTAATAATGATAAACAAGTATATTGTTTTCACAAAGAAAAATACTGTTTAAAACAATGATAAAAGTTTCAACTGAATTAGCACCTAGATCACTTTCACTCTACAGATGAGAAAACTAAAACATGAAGCAGGTCCAAAACTATCCCAAACTAGTCAATACTGGACTAAAGATAATTATATAGGTCTCTCTGGATTAAGTC